TTAAATACCTCTCCTGGTTTTTTTCTGTCTCTCTTTTCCTTCTGGGATGACACTGACACAGATCTGCTGCTATCTGATACTGCCCCGCCGATCTTGGGTTTTCTGTTCTGCAACCCTCCCCCCACTTTTTTCTCTTTCTGTTTCAATCTGATTAATGTCTATTGACCTATCTTACTGTTCACAGCTTCTTTCGTCAGGTGTGTAAAGTCTACTGATCAGCCCCTCAGTCATTCTTTACTTCCATTATTGTGTTTTTTTATTTCTAGCATTTCGATTTGACTCTTTCTTACTCTCTGCTGAAATTAACCGTCAAATTCTGCATGGTATCTACTTTTTCTATTAGAAGATTGTTTTTAATTAGTTGTTTTATTTTTTTAATCAGTTGTTTTATTTTTTTAATCTTTATTAACTTTGTTACAATATTGTTTTATTGTTGTTATTAATCAGTTGTTTTATTTTTTTAATCTTTATTAACTTTGTTACAATATTGTTTTATTGTTGTTATTAATCAGTTGTTTTATTTTTTTAATCTTTATTAACTTTGTTACAATATTGCTTCTATTTTATGTTTTTTGGTTTTTTGGCCACAAGGCATGTGGGATCTTAGCTCCCTGACCAGGGATCAAACCCGCACCCCCTGCATGGGAAGGCAAAGTCTTAACCACTGGGCCACCAGGGAAGTCCCTAATCAGTTATTTTAAATCACATCCTATAGTTTCGATACCTGTGTCATATCTGTCTTGTTCTGTCACCTGTCTTTTCTCTTGTCAATGTGTTGGTTTTCTCCTGTCTTTTCTTATGCCGAAAATGTTTCGTTGAAAGCTAGCCATCTTGAGTAGGGCAATAAAGACTAAGGCATATCGTTCTGATTCCTTCCCTTTTGCTGCACGGGGTTTGGATCAGCCTAGTCAGGATCTGATGCTGCCCTGGTTATCCAGCCTTCAAATCCTTCTAGTTGTATCTTGTGTTTATGGTGGGGCTGGTATTTCTCATTGTCTCCTGTACCTTTGTGCTGAGCCTCACCTCAGTGAGGGTCTCTCTCCATATTCTTGCCCCTTTTCTAGCAGCTTGTTAGCCTGGGTGCAGGAGGCAGAGCCCAGAAGGGTAATGTTTCTGTTGTTCTGATTAAGCCTCTATCTTAGGTGGGTGCTGTGTCCCTGGATCTGGGGGGAGGGAGTGACTGCAAAGGCCCAGTGCCCTAAGACCAACAGTGTGTGTTGCCCTGCTCTCTGCAGTTCCTTCCTTAGCAGATGGGAAAGGTCCGTGAAGGACACTTTCTCAGAATTCTGGCCAGTCTTTTTGTGAGCACCAGGTCAGGTCCCATGGAGAGGGGCCTGCAAGTTCTTGTGAATTTCCCTTATGTCTGTGGCCCCCAAGGTTCTGTATTCTTTCACTAGGCTACACCCTTCCTTTACCAACTTGTTAACAATTTTAGCTGAATTCTTCTTAGTGGGGTCCAGCTTAGTGGGGTCCAATTAAGCTCATGTCCATCCCTCCTCAAAGGCACCTGTCTTTCCACCTGTGGCTGGCCAGTTGCCTATGACTTCAGCTCTCAGACGGGTTAAAGGAAAGTTGTGAATCTGCAGTTCGTCCAGCTTGTTGTTATTATACTGGTGGGACATTGCTCCTTCGGCTTTTTACAGCCCAAACAGAAACCAGAGGTCTCCACTCGTTTTTGGAAAATAAGTACTGAAAATTGGTTGCTGCTTCGGTTATCCTTTGTCCAGGCTAGTTTGAGATGATGCCTGTATGTTTCCAGGTTAAAAGATAGAAGAGAGTTTTTTCAAAGGGGAAAAAAAAGGTTGCAGGTTTATTTTGAAAAGTATTTGCTGTTCCTGACATTTGCCACCAGAGGGCAAGTCACCGCATCACTCCCCGCCTCACTGGGTGAGCCCAGGTTTCCAACAGGGAAAAGTAAGTGTGTAAAGTGAGAGGCAGAGGCGACGAAAGTACCCGAGGCTCACAGAGGCCTGTTTTCGAGGCCGCTCTAGGCTGTACAGCTACAGGTGGGGCTCCTGGGCCCTGCAGCCCCAGCCCTGACCGGCAGGCCACAGCTGTGCCCTCGGCACAGAAGACGCCTTCTGACATCCAGGCTGAGAGGCTGCCAGGAGCCTGCTGGGTGGTCAGGCTCTAGCACCTGCAGGTGATTCCAACCTTCTGCTTTGTGCGTTGGGGGGGGGGGGGTGGGGGGGGGGGGGTCGGGGGGGGGAGTCCAGGAAGTCCGTGCCAGCCCAGCTACTGAGTGTAGGAATTTCCAGGAGCCCTTTGGTAGGGAGGCTGAGGGGGGCTGTATAGCTGTACTACTTTAGCTGGTTTATCTGAAACAAATAAACCAAAATCACAGTGGCTTCATGTGATAGGAGTTTGGTTCTCCTGTAGATAAAGTCTAAAACAGGTGTTCCTGACGGGCAGGCAGGTCCCCTCCAAGTGGGGAGTCAGGAGCGCATTCCTGATATCTTGTAGGGCCGCCATGATCAGAAGACATCACGGCGGGAAGGGGTGAAGGGGAGAAGGCGCACCCACCCCACAGCCACATCGCCCAGGGCTTCCCCCAGCACTTCTGCTCATGTCCCATGGGTGCGAATAAGCATGTGCTCTTTCCTAATGCTAGGGTGGGGGCCTGGGCAGGTGCCCTCAAGGCACCTCTCCCCTGGGAAGGTGGACAGCCAGACCCCAAATCGCCCACGTTGCACCCAAAGAAGCTGCTCCTAACAGGTCATTCTAGAACAATGTTTCCCAGATTTGCTTGATTTTAAGACCCACAGAGGATGCTTATTTAAAAGAGTCCTTGGGCCCGTTTCCTGGACACTGGTTTGGCCATCTGCATGGCCATCTGCATGGCGCCTGGAGTGGGTGCCTTTACCAAGCCCTCCAGGGAGCCATGCTGCCCTGTCTACAGAGGGAGCCTCTACCCCCTGCCCACACCCATGGGTGGGAAGCCGGGGCAACCCTCTCTCTGTTGTCGTGGTGACCCTTGGAACTATGGGACTAGCTCCTGGGTATGGCCCAAGGGAGGCTGGTCCTGAGCTATCCTGCAGCCCTCCCTGGGTGTGACTACCCTGCAGCTCAGCCTGGGGAGGGGCAGCCTGTGTGTCACAGCCACATCAAGGCTGGACTGAGCAGTTTGTGGCCTAGGCAGACCAAGTGGCCCCTGACCTCCCAAACCTGAGCACAGTGCCACCCAGCCACATCGAGATGAAAAGGAAATTCTGGAGCAAAGCTGTGTTTCCCTTATATGAGGGGTTAGGGGCTGGGGTAGAAGAAGAGGATTATTTGTGTGTCTTTAGCAACTGGAGGGCAGCACTGAGTCAATGTTTCTGATTTCTTACCAGAAAATCAATTATTAACGGTATTCAATCGTAGATTTTATGTATTTATTGTTTATTGATTTGTCTTTTCTGTTTTTGCCATGATTCCCTTGTCATGAATCTTGGGGAAGTGACACCAGGTTCATGACCAGCATGGGGTGGGGGAGGGGGGAAGTAAGGAGAAGGTAAGGTAAACCCCAGGAAGGAGCAAGGCCCCGTGCATCCTGGAGTGGTGCCTGGGGGCTCAGTGTCCCCAAAGATGGGGCTCTCGGTGCCAAAGGAAAGCAGCGTGTGGGAGGCCCCATGTGTTCAATCAGGCACAGGCAACATCTGGCCGCCAGCATAGGAGCAGGAAAGAGGTGCTCCAGGGCCTGAATAGGCAAGGATAAGCCTGAAACAGGGAGGCCCCCATCCATGAGCTTTCAGCTCCTAGCCCACTTCCCCCGCTAGAAAGGGGCCCGGCCACAACTGCCTCCTAAGCCAGTGCGACAGCGGAGGCGAGACCTCCCTGTGGAGGCCGCAGCAGGGTCTGAGTGTCACACCTGAAGGTGCACCAGGCCCTGCACCCACACGTGCCAGCCCCAGCGTTTGGGCAGGCTGGTTCCCCAGGCAGCACTCAGGGCAGCACCCAGTGCTCTCTCCACCAGCCACTGGCATGGAGCCCAGCTCCAGCAAACATAGCAGCTGGCCTGGCGGAGCCCCAGGCTGTGCTACTCTGCTGGGGCCTGATGCTCAGGTGAGGCCTGCAGGGGAGCTTAGTGCAGTCCCCACGCAACGCTGTGCCCAGAGGGCAGAAACAGGATGGCTCCTGTCCTCTCCCCGCATTCTTTCTGCCCCTGACAACAAGAGTAAGCCCATCACTAGGGAGCTGATCCCACCAGGCTCAGAAGCTCCCAGCAGATCCCAGACAAACCTGTAAACAGCAGCCTCCAGCCCAGCCTTTCTGAGGAGGGCCCAGGTTCCCCCAGGGCAGGGGTGTGTTTTGATGAATCCATCCCTGGGTGCAGTGTGGAGCCCATCTCTCCTCACTGCCTTGTCCACCTACGCGTTCCCTCCCCAGAAGGCTCACTGGTCAGCCCTAGAAAAGCTTGCCAAAGCTCCCTCAGCCTGCTGTTCACCCTCAGGGTGCTATCACCACCTGACAGCCTGAGCTGTATGTCACCTGTTCATCCTGTCCCTAGTACAGGATGTGAGCTCCCTGTGGCAAGGGCCACAGGGTCCGTGGGTCCCGCAGCAACACAGAGCAGGTGCGCAGGCAGTCCTCGCTCCCCTTCTCTGGGAGGAGATGGGCGGGCCTGGCCCCAAGCCCCCTCCCAGGTGACCTTGCTCACTGCGCTGTCTGGCCTGGGTCGTTCGTTAGAAACCACAGAAGCAGTAATAGCTGTTTTTTGTCTGCTGCCCAAGGACGGCACCTGTCTTTTGACCCAGGTCAAGCCCAGGTCTCCAAATGCTCTTCAGCCTCCACAATAAAGAGGAAACTTTTTAAACTGTTCATGGTGCGTTTGAAACCTCCGGCCTTAACACCCCTCCTGGCGTAGAGGTCCTGTGTACAACTCCATTCGGTTTCCTCAATCATGGAGACACCTGGTCTCGGTGGCCTTTTCCTGTCTTCCCTAGGGGTCACGGGGACTTCGAGCCTCCCGTCCCCGCCCCCGAGCCACCTGGCACGGGTCTCTCTCTTTTGCGTTCCAGCCGTGATCCCCCTGACGGATTCAGAGCACAAGCTGCTGCCTCTGCACTTTGCGGTGGACCCCGGGAAGGACTGGGAGTGGGGGAAAGACGACAATGATAACGCCCGGCTGGCCCAGTAAGACCCTACCCTGTGTCCCCTCCCCTGGCGCCCTACGGGGCGGTCTGTCTCCGGGCTTCCCAGGGAGGGGCTGGACACGGCGCCCCTGCTCCTCGGGGGCTGGCTGGCTGCACTGGCGGGGTGCGCGAGGGCGAGCTGGGGCGCATCTCACTCGGTGTTCCTCTCTCGATAGCCTGATCCTGTCGCTAGAAGCCAAGCTGAACCTTCTGCACAGCTACATGAATGTGACGTGGATCCGGATCCCCTCTGAGACCCGGGTGAGCCTGGCGCGCGCCGGGACGGACGGCAGGCGCACTCGGCCCGGGGCGGGCAGGCGAAGTGCATCCCAGCCTTGCCCGCGGCCCCGCCGCCCTGCCGCCCCGGCTGGACTGCAACGCGTGCCTCTGTGCGCCTGTGCCTGCGAGTCTGGACGTAGGCGCGCGCTCCGGCTAGGGGAGTTTTTGTCCCCTTACTTTCTCCAGAGCGACAGGAATAAACACGCCCACTCAGAAAACAAACCGTAGGCAACTCACAACACAAAACTCTCTCTTGCCGAGATGGGAACACGATGTGCTGCCACGGAGCGGAATTAATTATAAAACTGTGTGTGGGTCCTTGGAAAAGGCAGGGAACGGAGGGCGCGATTCCTCGGCACCCCCTCCTTTTCTTCTTCTCTCCCCTCTTTTTCTCCCCTCCATGAGGAGAGGGCTGTGAGACAGGGGGCTGGCGCCCCACTTGGCCCCCTCCCCCAGGGAGGACCCATGCTGGCCCTGCCTCCAGATGCTAAGAGGGATTCGCTTTAAGTATCTGACTGATGTTTTTGTGATCTCAGTAGTAAAGTCCCAGGAAAAGGGATTTGTTTAAAAAACAAAAATTACAAATAATTGGCCCTCCCCAGACATAAATTTACTTACCCATAAAGTCGGGCTCGTAACGAATATTTTTTAAGTTTCATGAGGAAAGCAAGGAAGGCAGTGCCTGGCACACAGTACCCAGGACAAACTGGCACTGCTCAGAGTGCTTTGCACTCCAGCGTTTACGTGTATCTAAACTTCACAGGGCTCCCTGAGGCAGGTCCCGATACCCCATGTTACTGATGGCACGAGTGACAGTGGGTGGCAGTCTGGCTCCAGAGTCCAGCTGCCTGGAGTATGTCATGACGTGGCTGTGGGTGTTCTTTTCTCACCCCCACGAGGGCTGTGAAGGCAGCGGCTCTAGATCGAGAATCAGGAGACTCTCAAGCTGGGACACAGCTCGGGTTTCGGGCAGTGAGGCCGGAAGCCACACCGCGGCGGCGGGGTCTGCCTCCACCGGCCGCGTGGGGCCAACTGATCTCTAACCTCCTCCCGTCCCTGCCCTCCCTCTCCCCTGCAGGCCCCTCTGGCGCAGCCGGAGTCCCCGACGGCCTCGGCGGGGGAGGACGTGCAGTCCCTGCCCGACTCGCTGGACTCGGACCGCGACTCGGTGTGCAGCAACTCCAACAGCAATAACGGCAAGAATGGCAAGGACAAGGAGAAGGAGAAGCAGCGCAAGGACAAGGACAAGACCCGCGCGGACTCTGTGGCCAACAAGCTGGGCAGCTTCAGCAAGACGCTGGGCATCAAGCTGAAGAAGAATATGGGCGGCCTGGGCGGCCTGGTGCACGGCAAGATGAGCCGCGCCAACTCCGCCAACGGCAAGCACAGCGACCCGCCCGAGCGCGGCAAGGAGAAGAAGGCCAAGGCGCGCAAGGGCAGCAAGGAGGAGTCGGGCGCCTCGGCCAGCACGTCGCCCTCGGAGAAGACCACGCCGTCGCCCACGGACAAGACGGCGGGCGCGTCGCCGGCCGACAAGGGCGGCGGGCCCCGCGGCGATGCCTGGAAGTACAGCACGGACGTGAAGCTGAGCCTCAACATCCTGCGCGCCGCCATGCAGGGCGAGCGCAAGTTCATATTCGCCGGCCTGCTGCTCACCAGCCACCGGCACCAGTTCCACGAGGAGATGATCGGCTATTACCTGACCAGCGCGCAGGAGCGCTTCAGCGCCGAGCAGGAGCAGCGGCGCCGCGATGCCGCCGCCGCCGCCGCCGCCGCCTCCACGGCCAAGCGGCCGCCGCGCAGGCCAGAGGCCGAGGGCGCGCCGGGCCCGGAGCGCGCCTCGCCGGGCCCGCCGGCCGGGCCTCCCACGCAGCTGGTGCTCA